TTCCAATACAGTTTTGGATTCTCTTCGTGCAAGGAGTCCAGCTGACTAATCAATGATTGTTTGTACTGTTTGTATTTATATTTCCTTAGTTTGGAGTATTCACGATTCAGTTTATAAAAGTGATTTTTGATAATTGGATCATATGGAAATCTTGAATAAATTTTTCCATAATTAAGCAAGTTAGTTCGAGCTTGTTGTAAACTTGCGTCAAACCACTTTTTGTTTTTTTGTTTGTTTGTGTGTTTTTTTAAAGGTCGTTTAAGTGATAGATTTGCTGCTGATAAAAAGATGTTTGAAAGTTTTGATGATGCTTCATCTACTGATGTCTGAGTAAATTGAATTGTGCTGTTGTTGAATTCTAGTATGTAGTTTTGTAGTGTATCTGAAGAAAGTGTTTATTGAAATTTTATTGCTGAACAGTCAGTCCAGGTATAATTAGGTGTCATATTTTTCAATTGGATTGGAATATCATTTTTTCCAGGAACACAATATTTTGCAGATAATTCCCACTCAAGTTTACAATGACAATCAGATAATGTGGGAATTAATCTGGATACTTTAAAATACAGTACATTTTCAAGAATTTCTTCCGACACAGCAACATAATCAACCACACTTGCACCATTGGGGGTATAGCAAGTAAAATTACCAAATGTATCACCAAGAACTCTGCCATTTAAAATTCTTATTTGTTTACTAATGCAAAAATCCAAAACCTCTTTGCCTCTTTGATCAATTTTTTGGTCTCGACTTTTTCTTGTCATAATGTTTTTGTCAGTAGGGTATGTATCAAAAATTGGAGTAAATTTTGAATCATCGTTTACTATAAAGTCATTTTCAGAGCCTATTCTGGCGTTAAAATCTCCACATAACAAAATTTCACCCATTTTATTGTACTGAAAGATATCTTTTTCTATGCATTCAAAAACATCAGAAGAGAGTTCTTGTGTATATTTAGACGTAACAGGGGGGTTGTTGTACAGTACACAAATAAATAGGTCACTTTTAAATCCAAAAAAGGATTTTTCTAATTTAATCCATTGATAATCTGGATTACTGTTAATCAATATTTTGACATGAGGTTTCTGTAGAATTGCTATACCCCCAAAATGACGGTTATTATTTGATAATTTTCTAAAAATAATAAAAGTATATATAAAGGATGATAATACTCAGCATGCAGTTACATCAGTATGTTTCTTTTCAATATTATGCGCCAAATCAGATACGGCCTGATTATTAATATAAGTTATACTTAATACTTTACTTAAGTATCGTACGTATCTTATTATGCCTTTGTAATATGCGATGTTGTACAATGGAGAAACGAGTTACTTTCACAGTTGAGATTTGTGTTTCTGTTTAACGGGAGATAACCTAATTTAATCTTAATCGTGTTCAAATTTTAAAAATGTAAAAAAAAATGAACATTTCCTGCAATGGCTTGTGTAGCGGCGTAACTCGATCCTCTTTTAATCTATTTCGTAAAATCACCATTATCTATTGATATCATAAATTAATTATGCCAGCTGAGCAGTTATATCTAGAGTTTAGATTTATCAAACAATATCTGATCAAATTGGAATATTTCCTGTTTGATTAGATTATGTGGTAGCGCTGTATACAGAGAAGATAAATTACTTCTGTCAATGGAGACAAACTGACCATCAAAGGAACGTAGCTAATCCAAGACACCCAAATACATTTAAGCACTTAAGAAATAATTAACAAGGGTATGAAAATAAGCTTTGTCACAACAATTGATTGGTAACGGTTGTAACCACTATACCCGGAATAAAAAAAAAATATTTGTAATTTTAAAAAAGCCAGTTAGACAAACAAATTACAGACCAGTGACTGTCCTGCCTATTTTTTCAAATTTTCTTAAAAGTTTTTTGAGCAACAACTAGGTGAAAATGTTTTAATCAATATCTTTGTGCTTTATCATGTTTATGTCGTGGACATGTTTGTCAAATCAGACTACCAACTTGAAGACTGCTTGAAGATTTGCGTTCTGCACTTGAAAAAACCTTTATAATGCTGCGGTTTTAACGGACCTTTCAAAGGCATTTGCATGACTGACTACCACATGCAATTTTGCTTGACATATTGGTGGCATATGACGTTTTGGCTCAATCAGTTTCTATTTAAAATCATATTTATCAGGTATAATTAAACTCTGTTATTAGTACAAAATGAAAACACAAAAAAAGTAAAAACAATGGTCGTTTAGGAGCAATCACTTCTGTAAAGTGTCTACTAACGATTTCGGAAATACATATTTGTAGATCTTGTCTTGCTGATAATTTTTTTGCTATTTAAAGCGTCTCTCTATGATCGTTTAAAGTTTCAAAATAATATGCAAAAACGCAAAAAAAAATTGTAAAAATCGTCATTAAGGAGCAATGACTCCAATAAGGAGTCTACTGTGATTTCACTAATGTTGACTTTTTAGATCTTGTCTTGTTGATCACTTTTGGTATTGAATCATAATTTTCAAAGTGTTAGGCACAAACACAAAAATGGGTAAAAATTGTCATTAAAGGGAAATAATCCAAAAAGAAGTCGTTTGACAATTTTAGTCATGTTGAATAATTTGTAGATCTTGTCTAATAGTATTTTTTTCTTTGGAAGTTTCTTTCTATCACAATTTTCACGATATAAGATATATCTGGCAGTTTTGTTGTAAATAGTAGACAGATCTCAACATTAGGAACATTTCTCCCCGTCAGATTTTCTCTATTAATAGAGATTTTCAAGATAATAGACAAAACTTGCATTTTACCCTTATGTTCTATTTATAGCCATGTTGGCCATGTCGGTTGGCAGGTGGGGGTCATCGGACACAATTTTAAACTAGATATCCCAATAATGATATTGACCACGTTGGGCTGAGTAGTTTCAAAGAGAAGATTTTTGTAAAAGTTAACGAACGACGACAGACTCACACTTGTGCACATATATTTGTTCCGCATAATACTTGTTCCCCCTGGAACAAAACTATGGATGATAAAAGTTCTTGGGGAAAAAAACATTACATAATAATATTTCCTGGAACTAAAACATCATATGGTTTTATGATATTTGTTTCTATAAGAAAAAGAGTGTCATGTGATTTTTTTACACATGATTGCATCTTAGATACTGTAATTAATGAATTGTAGCTAAAAATAATTTGGATATTATAGTATATATTCCTAGAAATTTGATCATGTAATAAATATTCCTAGAACTTTACTTATCTAATAACCATGACAACTATTCTGGGAACATTTATAATATAACCAATAATCCTGGAACTTTTATAACCTAACCAATATTCCTGTATATAAACAATATTTTGTATATACAATGTATACGTTTAAAAATGCTTTTGCCTCATTTGTTGTTACTTATTTGCTACCATGATAGAAATCAGTATATTTGTTATAGGTAACTTTGGTCACATAACAAAAGTTCCAGTTCAAAGTTTCAAACTGGTGGAAAATGTCAAAACATTGTCCATAATATTTATTCCAAAGATCTTTCAGCATATAACAAAATTTCCATTGGGAACTTTCATTATGTAATATTTTATCCTTTGTGAAGGAAATTTTCTTATAGCATTGCATAAAATATTATATAAAGAAAGTTCCCAATGGAACTTTTGTTATATGCTAAAAGTTCTTTGGAACAAATATTATGGGGGAACTTATATTCTGTCACAAGTTTAAAAGTACAAATAAGAGCATTCCGTTTTGTTTATGAGGACTTTTCTAGCTCCTATGAAAATTTACTAGAATAGGTGAAGATGCCTTGTCTGCAAGTTAGAAGAACGAGAATAATGGCAATTGAAGCTTGTAGAATTATTAATAACGTATCACCTATATGTACACAAGACTTGTTAATGGTAACACAATCGAAATATTCTTTCAGATATAAAAATATTTTGTATATTCCATATGTAAAACTATACTTACGGTAAGAAAAAAAATCAAATTTGCTACTGCTACATTGTGAAACAGTCTTCTGAACCATTTTAGGACGAAGAAAATTTTTCTCTCAGTTCACGAGTTTTATAAAGTCCTAGAATGGCTCGGAATAGCTCTGTTCTGTATGTAGATAAGCTTTCAGGTTATTCCACTGTTCTTGAATGGCCCGGAAAGGCTCTGTTCTGTATGTAGATAAGCTTTCAGGTTATTCCACTGTTCTTAGTTTACATAACTGTGCTCTTCTATTGCTTTTTGTGCTGTGCTTATTTTCATGTGTGCTTTCTTTATTTCTTAAAATTAAAATAAAATTGAGAATGGAAATGGGGAATGTGTCAAAGAGACAACAACCCGACCACAGAACAGACAACAGCAGAAGGCCACCAACAGGTCTTCAATGCAGCGAGAAATTCCTAGTTTGCTTGCATGATTGCGTTTTTATGTTGTTGTACATGTTTGTTCTGTTCGGTCAAAAGCTCTCTAGAGCTTATGTTTTGTAGTTCATAACTATACCGAATCTAAATAAGGCCTTGGTCTTGTATTCATTTATAACTCGAACTCTAGCTCAAACTCAAACTCGAACTTGAATCCGAACTCGATGGTTAACCACACTCTGCAGGTATATACAGAATTACGTGAAATTTGGAACCGGCAATCATTAATCAACATTTACAATGTACACCTGATCTAAAATCTGTTCAAGTTGAATTGTACTCATTACAGTTAGAATATATACATGTACTTTGTGTGATCTTTAAACTGAAAGTAACTACATGTAACAAAAGTGCAATGCTAAAACCATGCCCGACTTTTTTTATTGGGGAACAATGCTGATATATAGAAATTGTTTTACCTTTTTTGTAAAGAAGATTAACTACCAAACACCTGTTCAGGTAGATAAATATTGATATGATGGCCATGTTACAGGATTCGATTAATTTAAATGTCCATTTTTCAAAAGGGATTTAACGTTAACAATTTCACCTTAATTGATCCAAGACAGTCTTGGTCGCCTTTGTTTACGAAATATTTGCAAAACTATAGTATTGGGACATTTAAACTGTACCGAGGAATATATTATGTGCCATTCACTTAAGCGGGTTTAAGTAAATGAATGACTTTGCGCATTTATGCATTGAACCATGCAGCGATACTAAAATACAATACATATTTCAATAATTAAAATAACGGTATTTTGTTTGTTTAAAAGTCTGTGTGTGATAGATACACTTTTGACATGTTTCGACTAGGAGTTGTTCGTTAAAACCGGAAAATGAGAAAGGGTGTGACAATCGAAGGTAGAATACTTGTAGTTTTCATGAAATTGATGTGATTGACAGGATGTATGTTGCATTGTTGTTTTTGATTGGAATTTTTAAAGGTAAGAATCGATTTTAGCATTTAATACTTTTGAATAATGAATGTGTCATTGATAAAACCTGTATGTTTTAGGTTTAGATATCAACATGCAAATCTACCATTCGCCATTTAGATCTTCATCATTTCGCAGGATTCAATGGCATGTCAACTAGGTGAAAAATGATTTATTTTGACAATTATCTCAAGTTCAACGTTTAATCAATAAAGTTTATCACGATAACTGAAGGATCTGTATAAACATTTAAAACGTCGGAATTTTAATAAACAACTTCCCATATTGTCCATTGAAAGAATGCTTATTACACGTTCGTTTGGATAACTGTATCTTGTAACTTTTGGTATGTCACTGAACGACTGCTATTTGTATTATCACTGCATTGTGTGATATTTGGTAATCCAACAGTTCTACATTAAATTGATAATTGTTTCATCTAATATCACAGTAATACAAACCTTCTTAAATATGGTTTATTAGTGCGAATTCAATAGGGTGGAGTTTGTGGAAAAAGGGCCCTAAACCCTTCTTTTTTCATAAATTGTAAACATTTTGAACCTTAATTGCTTTTGAATCAACTATTGCCTCTTCATATTTTTGAACAACACAAAGAGGAAGGTCAAATTTCTCCTGTATTTATTTTACCCACACCACGAAAACAGAAAGTTGTAAAAACCTAGGACAGATAAATTATCTATTGGTCCCACTTAATATTTACTGGTATCAATATAAGAGTATTTATATAAAACACATCAAAGATCTGTCAAAATTTTTACATATTTTAAGAAGCGATACATATTGCTGTTGAAGACGATGTTGATAAAAAAAAATGTACATTTTTCATGTTTTTGTAAAAACTTATCAAAGTTAAAAAAAAAAATAGTTTGTATTTGATGAAAGGCAATATACGGAATGACTTCAATGGAATTTTGTTTTGGATAAAAATGACCTTCTTATACATTTTATACTCAAAATTTGCCAAAAACTATACTTCCAGAAATGTGTTTTGTGCTACCTTTAAGCATTTATAATTTGGTCTTATACAATTTATGTGTAGCCATTATAGTGTTTGAACACAGGCACTTGTCTCAGAAAAAAATTTCCTATACACCTTAATATAACACAAGGTACTTAACTCGTATTTTTGAAAAATGGCACCCGGTCGCGAAATTCCGTTATATTTCGATTTCTCCTTGTCAACCCCACTAAAACTTGTTATGCCGTAAATCTAAATTGATTTATCTACACAATGGTGTAAAACACGCATACCTGTGGTGTCGGAATCATTCGTAGCAGTCCTTCCCTAGTATGTCAACCGTAATTTATTCGTCTACCAACACCCGATTGGAAATATAAGACTCGCAGTAAATGTTTAATTATAAAAAGTACTTTAAAAAAACTGTTGGTTTTTGTCTGAATAGAACTTATCATCCAGATAGTAAATTTGTAAAAAAAAATCCGTGAAAAAAATCTAACAAGTGTTATTTAAAGTATGTCTAATGAGTTACGAGTTTCTATTTTTAGACTCAAATTTCAGACTCTCTCTGGACTTTACATATGAAATGAGATAAGATCAGACAATTCCGAGAAACATTTATTTTTAGCAAGAGACTTTCTCATACAATTTGACCAATTGGAAACCGAGATATATAAAGAGTGGAAAGATACCTTTTACTGCGAGTCTTATATTTCCAATCGAGTGTTGGTAGACGAAATAATTACGGTTGACATACTTGGGTAGGCCTGCTACGAATGATTCCGACAACAAAGGTAGGCATGTTATACACCATTGTGTAGATAAATCAATTTATATTTACGGCATAACAAGTTTTAGTGGGGTTGACAACCGAGAAATCGAAATATAACGGAATTTCGCGACCGGGTGCCATTTTTCAAAAATGCGAGTTAAGTACCTTGTGTTATATTAAGGTATATAGGAAATTTTTTTTCTGAGACAAGTGCCTGTGTGTTTATATCTCAAAATACTTAAATGAAACTATAATTTTGAGTAAAGATTGAAATAAATTTGAGAATGGAAATGGGGAAGCCTGTTTGAACATGTCTCTGGATAAGATATAGCATCCGCTCTCACAAGATATATGTGAAGGGTGAGTGCCACGCTCTCTGTACGTTAAAGAATCATTTTAACAGCTCTGGGGGTCCGTAAGTGGCCGGTTGCAAGGCATATTTCTGCCTTTATTCAACATACACTTACTTTCCAGTGGCTGTCTAAATGTGCCGCCCTTCATCCCGGTCGTTCCACCTAGCAGAAGCTATCTTTTGTATCAAAAATTGTTAATTTGTTCTCGTCATGAATATGCATGGAGTAATTGCCTTTGGGCGTTAAGCAAGCAACAACTGATCAATCAACCGCAATGTATTATGTAAAAAGCGTTAGACCTAATTAATTGATTGATTGTTGGTTGCTTAGTGTCCAGTGGCAAATATTTCATGCATGTTCAGGACGAGAACAAAATAAACAATACATACAAAAGGTAGGTCCTGTAACTACTGGAAGTGTTTAACGACCTTGACTGGCTGTTCAGCCCTCGCACGGTCGGTCATGGTCCTGTAATAGAGGCCGCCCGGGGTAAATCTTTTGTCTTGCAACAGGCCACCTAAGAACCCTTTAAAAAGTTGTTGCAATGATTTGCACCGTGCAGAGAGCGTGGCACTCTCTTTACACGAGGCAATAGATTTAACGTCCCCATTCTGACCGGACGTGGCTATATGTACTTGTACATCCCGCGCAGTCAAACGGACGTCCCACATTGACTATAGTTTTACTACAGGTTGGAAGAAGACCTAATTGACCATATTTATATTCCCCAGTCACCGGGGGGGAGGGGGGATTCGACCTAACCTTAATTGAAAGTGATTGTTGTTTTTAACGGAAACACTTTTTCATTCTAGTCAAGGAAGAAACAATTTAATGTAAAATTTTGAAGGTGTAGCTGTTTTACGAATTGCTACGTGCATAATTTAATGGGATTGTCATTTGACATAATCGCTACATTAAATTTGAAAACTGTAACGCCTTATTTCGTATATATTAAATGTAGAATAACGATTTTAGTTCAAAAGGACACGTGCATGTTTCTGGATTAACCTTAACCAGGTACTCTCGAGATTTAAACTTTTATGAATCTAAATACATAACTCATTTCATCAAAACCAATAAATTTGAATATAGGAGAGTCTCAAAGGGGCTTACAGAATAGAGAATAATGGGCCAAAAATACAGAATAACGGGGGAAAAAAGAAATATAGAAAAATAGGCCAAAAAATAAAGAATAGAGAATAGTGTGGTGCTAAAATATATAGAAAATGGCCTCAAAATTAAAAGAATGCAGAAATGAAGACACCACCCTCCCCCCTCATTTAGACCCTTATATAGAGTAGCACACCTTGTCTAAGGTCAACTTTACCTGAATGAGTAACATATAACAGAATACACAATAAAGATCAAACACAAAAGATGTGTTTAAAAGAACATCTTCAAAATGATGCCGCTTTGAATCGGTGTATTTAATATTTTTATTTTTTTAATATAAGAAATAATAAAGTTTTGTTTGAATAGACATGTTATATATAGAACAAAGAAGCTTCATTATTCAAATCTCATTATACTTGCTAGACAAATCTATTACGATATTTTGTTAAACAGTACACAAATAAAACGAGATCTCTTTGAATTAATGAGGATGTGGATGGGGGTTTACAGAATAGAGAATAATGGGCAAAAAATATAAAGAATAGAGAAAAATGGACCGAAAAATAAAGAATAGAGAATAATGAGGTGCTAAAATATACAGAATAGAGAATAATGGGCAAAAAGTATAAAGAATAGAGAAAAATGGCCTAAAAGTTAAAGAATACAGAAATGAAGGACCCCCATCCAGACCCTCATTCTTGGGTAAAACAATATATCTACTCATTAAGAATTTATTTAGAAAAGTGGCAGTTCATGGTAGTACCGTAGGATTCGTGGCATGTGAGTTCACCCCCCCCCCCCCCCCCATCCCCTCCCCCATTCCCCGGGTTTTAGTGGGGTTCGTCTCGCTCAATACTTTGGTTTCTGTGTATTATTTGCGGACTTGTTTGTCTTTCATATTTTTTATCATGCTGTTGTCTGTTTCATTCGACTTATTGTTTTAATTGCCTCCTTTGTATCTTGATATAAAAAGGTACATAACCATTCATAGCATGATGAAATTGTATCAAATTTAATATTCCAATAACAAATTAGGTGGATTTTGTGTTGACAACTTTTTGGTGGCGTACAAACAGACAGTTGGACGGGTGGACGGGACAAAAACAAAAAAGTTTTCACATACATATACTTATGTGAGCTATACTAGACATGAAGGACAGTGACTGGTGGGATACCAAACCCTTAGCGTTCGATAATGATGATGCATGACTCTCTAAATTATGTATTGCTGCCCAAACAAACTGGGGAATTTTTCTCATCTCATTTCATCTCAGTCACGTCTCAGTCCTTACAGCTGAAAGGACGTGCAGGATCAGCTCCTGCATGCATGATTATCTCTTAACTACAAAATGTTACGCTGCTCAGATGGTTCAACGACACTAGTTTATGAGGTTAACGGACAGTAAACCTGCGTCAGCAACACTCTGAAACCCATTGTGGATGGGTGAGTGTCACATGCTGCCCAGACGTCCGAGGGCTATGTGTATCGTAGTTTTATTGCAATTTGCAGTCATCTACTACTGAGTCAATGATTCATCTACCAGCAACACATCGTCGACGTTAGCGGGCTGCCCAGCTGATCAACCTGGCCCTGAAAGCAGCCGTTGTGAAGTATAGACTGCAAAGAAAACATCAAAATAGCAAAAAACCAAACCAAAACAACTCACGTAAACCAAGATGGCCGCCTACCAAAATGGCGCCTTCCACCTGTTCATGACCAACTGCGACAGAAAATATTTAATGCTCAACAAACGCCACCGGGCACGAGCCGACCGTGCGAGGGCTGTATAGCCAGTCAAGGTCGTTAATAACCCCCATCATCATCAACAACTAGGGAAATAAATAACAACAAGACAGATGTATAAACAAACTAAAAAATACACAAATTCTAGTATGTGATTTGACACTTTAAACCTTAAACATTGGTCAATACGAACTTCGAACAAAACCGGAAATGACATCAGATGCTTACGAAGGGTAAAGCACATCCGCTATTCTCTGCATACGACATCAACGTAATCAGAAGGCAAAGCGATCTGCCTGAATCGACAGAAGTTCCAATAACGATATTATCAATGAAATCAGATAACTCGGTCAAAAAATGCAGTACATTTTTCAGCAGTGAAAAAAGAGTCCATATAATAGTTCAGAGACCCAATGTCACAACAGTTCTGTGCTTAAAAGTCCAGTATAGTATTTTTCATCTTAACTACAATATCAATAATGATGTTTAGAATTTTTATTGGTTCATGGATAGAACTGGTATTGCAACAAAACAACAAAATATTTTTATATCTTTAATTTAGCTCTTCTTTTTCCTTTGAATCTAATACATTAGTGAGTAAAGTCTTTGAAAAGATTCGTCGATACAGTGTAATAAATCATTAATGTAGTTGCAGTTTATTGTAATTTATTCAAATATTTATGATTACATTGCTTTTATTGTTATCGATCAGATGAAAATTCGTATTGATGAAAAAATCGAATGGTTGAGCTGGACAATTTTATAAAAGAGATTATAAAAATCAGATAAATGTCCAATGCAACCAGACTTACAAGTGCAGTCAGTCATTAAATCAATCACACGGCATATTATAAAAATTCCGAGACGAAAATATCCTTTGAATACTTTTTATGATAAATAATTAATGACCGAGTTTCCTGTATTTATATACCATAACATATTTATAATCCACGAGTGAAAGCATGACGTATTGTCTGGGCACTTTTCTGTTGTTGAAGACCTTTTTTTGACCTTTTACTAGTCCTCCTTTTTTTGTGTGTTGTTGGATTGCTATCTTATCGGCGTAAACCCTAAACATCCCTTTACTTATACGTGTATATAGCAGCTACTTCGGGTATTCATGTTACTTGTTTATATAAGTTATTGCGATAAATCAATATTCAATTAAAATGCATATCATTTACATTTCAGTTTCTTGTCAATCATTTTGCCAAACTTCAGCTGAAAAAAATGATTTGAAAGGTAAGATAAGAAAATATTTCGAAAGAAGTATTATAATTTGATATTGTCATTTTATTCTCGAATGGGATCGTATTGCCAATATAGATTCCTTGCAATTGATCAGAATTATATTACTATAACGTGATGAACTGCTTAATCAGCTTTCATTTGATGAAGTACTATTTTTGTTTCATACCTGGAATTAATAAGTATTTGATTTCAGGCAATCATCCTTTTCTCTGTAGAAACTAATCTAACGAATTCTCACTGGTATAGTTTCTTCTATTGTGGATAATGATATCAAAGTTACAAAATTGTAATTCATTCCTCGTGAATAAATAATTTTCCTGATGCAATTTCGAAATAAAATTATTTTAATTTCATTTTGATAAATGCGAAACAATTGTAATAGCAGTTTTCATACATCATTGTTATAACATAAGGACAGATCTTCAATAAATAAAAAAAACGTTAAGCCCGTTCTTAGCTTTTATGAGATTATTGTTATCCTACGGTGCACAAGACATGGGATCAGTTCTATCAATTGTACAATGTTTTAATCCAGTATACTCTTATAGGTTGCACTTTGTAAATACAGCTGTTTCACAAACCATGCCTCTTTTGGGGAGATATATGGGTCATTTTCAAAAAATGTCGAATTTTGAAATTGAAAAATTTATTAAAAGTTACTTATTCAAACAACCCTCTACATAAGCAAATCAAAACAAACAGTACTTAAAGAACAACATGTTAAAAGATGCAATGTTAATAATGTCATACAAGAATATCTTGAAACATTTTTTGATAGGTGGTACAATATTTTGTCTCTCCTGTTACCATTTTCAAAAGAAATTTTGGGTTATTAAGAAATGGTTTAGATAAAATTTTAAGCTTGTTTTACGTAGCCAATTAGATAGTTTAAAGAGAATAAACTTCTATATATATTCATTCTGTAAAATAATAGATTATTTGCCAATTTTCCAGGTTGTACTGAAAAATGCCTCTAAAAATTGGTTTTCAAAGGTTGTAAAAATTACCACCAGTAATGCAAGTCTAAGATAGCAATTCATATTGTTTGGCATTTTTTTCTCTCTTTCAAATAAACCCAACATCAAGTAAATCCCTCATAAGTTAGTTTACTTTTCTCTTTATTTCATTGGTAACAGGAACGTACGTTTATGATATGTCACTATATAAAAGTCTATCCTGTTACCTTTTTGTCTATCCTGTTACCGATATCAGTATTGCACCTGCAAATGCTTAATTGGGAAGAATAAGACGTTATAACTTTAAGATGAGTTCAAACAACGAAATGTTTCATTCGTTTTGCAACTATATGTTAAGATAATTTTTTTAACGACGTTTCTGTCTACAATTGTCTATCCTGTTACTGTAACCATAGCAACCATAGTAACAGGATAGACATAACAGGATAGACAAATTTCTTCATTTTTGAATGCTGTTGTGAAATGACTACTCCCTTTGGTGAAGTGATTATGGTTTTCTGTTGTGAATTTGATTTCCAACACGATATTGCACTTTTTACAAGTATACTGTTGGTGTAATTAATCAAAATTGTTGGTAACAGCATAGACATGAAAAAAAGTACCCTCTAATTTTTTTCACTTAATGTCTTAAAATTTCTGTTCTCTACACTGTCGTACAAGAAACGTGGTGTTTTAAATGTAAAGGTAACTTTGAACTTTTGAAATCAACATTGACTTATTCGATATTCATAGGGAGAACGATATCACGGCTGATTAAAGTAACGGTAACAGGATGGACATGAACCTCCCGTACGCTGATTGAATTTAGTTTGTAGATAATATGTTACATATAATGATTAAGAAGCTACGATTTTTCGTTAGATTAACTATTAACGTTCTTAAAAAGTCCCTTTTGCAGATATCAAGGCGATCAGAAAATCGGGAAAAAATCATTTGCAATGTGTTTTTCTGACACTGTACGCACACAAATAGCCCCCAAATCGGACTTAAATACATTTTAATCTTATCAAAATAGATGTAAATCGTGTTTATTATCGATGTTCTAAATCATAAATCCGACAAGCTTTCATTTAAACCATTACAACTGAAATTTCCATTAGAAATACAAATTTTAGCATGGGTGTACTGAAAATTCGACATTTTTTGAAAATGACCCATATAATATTCATAGATATTTTGTTTTGTTTACGTTCTGGTTCCCAGATATGATCTCTATGTTTCATCTCATAGAGACATAACTTGGGAATGTTACCAGTATAAATGCGCATGGTAGGCGGTGGAATTGAATTCTGAGAAAGACCTAAAGTGAAGTGAGGGGTAGTGCAGAATTTTAGTATAAGTTAAAACTCTTAGAAGTTCGGGGCATATAAAAGTTGAAAATATGCCGCACAGCCCTGTTTTGACCTTTGAATAAAAAAGTAGTGCATATAAACTTTCCATTCTATGGTATAATTTTTTACGAAACTTCATAGTAAATAGTAAAAGTGGCACAGTTTTAGCCGTAAAGGGAGTTCCTATGGGAAATTGCATTGTCTATATTTACAGAAATGCAACCTATAACTGCTTAAATAATAACTTGTTAATACACTTTCGTGAATAAAAGGAGATGTGGAGTATTCGTCAGATTAGACATCGACCCACTTTTAAAACCACATTAATCCAGTTTTGGACCAGTACACTTTACAAAACTATGATAGTATGGTGAAATCGATAAAGACAGTAACCGCGTAGGGAGTGGGCTAACATGTTTGGGGGAGTGGGCAAACTTATGAAAGTGACAAAAAAAAACAGCTATTCTATAGTCTAAGAGTTTTCGTTCATTTTCAATACCTTTTTTTCGGCCAAAAAGTTGTGGGGCAAATTTTCCCCCTACTTTCGAAAAAGGGAGACAATTGCCCCCACTTGTCCTTCTTCCCCTGGCTCCTAAGTCAGTGGATAAGGGGAACGTGTTTGGTATATTTGCTACTACAATGTATTTTTATTAGGATATTTGGCATATTTTGATAATGTGGTTTAGTATATATTTCTAACAGATTAATGTTCACACATATCCAAATTCCTTGCATGCTTTTCTAATGGAACGGGTTTTTTTTCACATAATGAAATATTAACCAACTGATAAATAGGCTTTGTTCGCAACTTTGAACGACATAATTATGCAGTAACTATTTAATGGATTGATAATTGTTAATGTTACTTCATGTAAGCAAATGGTTTATGCAAAGTATTGATGAGAACAAATTGAATAAACCATAAACCTATTTGTAAAAGTTTGAAAATTCCATTTCGATTTTAAATATTATAAAGGTCAAGTTAATTAATTAATATTTTTTTCTTTTATTACATAATATTGTTTAAACAAAATTCAAACGAGATCAAATTTAACAATTAAAGATTCAAATTCATCAAGTACTATTAAGAGGGTCGACCGACAATGATCACAGTGAAAATGATAGAAAAAAATGAAATTTTAGAAAAGAAGGCATGCTAGGTAGTGTCAATTTTGTCCTACAATAGGTCGTCTAAAGAAACACATCAATGAGTTGTGAAGTATCGGATTAAATATACCTTTACCAATCAAACATGGCTATAGATGCATACCTAACACACAGCTAGACGGACGCTATCTTTAGCAACCGTCTTACTCCTAACTGGCTGATGAGAAAAATCCCTATTGTTGTAATTATTTCATTTTTGTTAAAATATTGTGTTGCATCCTTTCAAATTTAGTATCTTACAGTTACAATTACCCAGAAAACAAGCAGTCGATCGTTTAAGATTATCATGAACATACCAAATATCAGAGCTATATAAGGTCGCATTGTTATTTTAATACACATACAGCAGTTTTAAAAGATAAATTTTGTATTTTAAACACGCTCTCTTCACAAGTCTATTTGACTTATAATACAGTACAATGCAAAACAATTTTGAATTAAAGATATTTTTATCACCTATAGATGTCTATTCAAAGGACAATGACAAATTTAGACGACATTTCTTAACTGCCTAGCAACACAACGTATTAATGTCTTATTTATCAACATATTTTATGATATTTTAACGGATGCTTTATTTTTTTTACAACAAAAGAAACATTGCAACACATTTAAAAGATGAGAAATTAGTCTGTCTCATGTCCGGATGTTCACCCTGATTTTCAAACTATAAAACTGTGAAGGTCAAATACATTCATTTTGGAAAATGTTATTTCGAATATTTGTAAATTAAATAATTAAAGTAAAAACAAAGCCTATTTTTATTTTTAAGAGAAAAATGGCCTCTTTTGATTTCCCCTCAAATGTGTAATTTTTCTTTACGTTTTCCAGTTGCAACATTTTGTCAGAATAGTGTAGCCTCAGGAAGTTCAGCTATCATTGACGGTTATGCAGCTCATGGAACAGATACAGATAAGACGTGTACCTGTAGTACCACTGTGTCCATACCAAATAATGGCACTTCTAGTCTTGCCTTTAGTGCTTTGTTTAGTCTTCACCCACAGTACATTGGCTGTGGTAGCTCAATAGGTGTTAGAGTAAACAATTCCGGTCAGAGTACGAGAATAAGGTGTACCATTGCTGGTAGTATAACAGTGAATAATGGAGACAATGTCCTTATCGAATTGAAGAAAGAATCATCACCTGAAGATACACGATATTGTATGAAGCTTCAGTTTTCAGGTAATTAGAACAGATTTCAGTCAGTTTAATACATGGTTCAATGGTTGCTGTACAATCCTAGATTAAAATGGTATTTCGACAGTATTTTGTATTTTGTGTTCATCCATTTCTTCAAAAAAATACTTCAGACGACACTTTTATTAATTCATGTTCTTAAAATAAGACTTTTACTGCAAAATAAACCTTTGAAGAGTACAGTTAGGGTTAGCTAGCTATAAAACCAGGTTTAATCCTCTAGTTTCTACATAAGAAAATGCCTGAACCAAGTCAGGAATATGACAGTTGTTTTCCATTCGTTTGATGTGTTTGAACTTTTGATTTTGCCATTTGATAAGGGACTTTCCGTTTAGAATTTTCCATAGAGTTCAGTATTTTTGTTATTTTACTTTTTAGTCCCAACCGTAAGACCAATCACGTGTCGAAATATCTCTAAAACGATCATAATTTTTTTCAAGCCAAAAAAAATATTGCTTTAGTCTGTAACTTTATAATGTAACGCCCACATTAGATATAGTAACACTCAGATTAACCAAAATACCATTTGATTATGTAGAGTAATATCTCTTTGATAAGATTATATGACAAGTGTATATATGCATAGTAGCCGTTAACGGACGCAACATATCCGCCATTCGAACTCAGTATATGCAATAACATTAACGGTACCAATTTTTCTGTACCAGACCGTTGCGCATTTCGACAAATTTATATTTGTGTTCAGTTATTCGAAAATATTTTAAAATCCAAATACTAATACAAACTTTAAAGCTGGTATAACCGAAAAGGACCTAAATGTCTTGGCAAAACCGATCTGCAAGGCTTTCGGAAAATTTGAACACGTCTGAAACAGAAAATACCTAATTGTACAAGCTTGATAATATGATTCATCAATGAGTTTCTTTACAATTGAACGAGCAATAGTCCAGGGGAGTAGCTGCCGTTAGGCACTTTAGGCACGTGCCTACACATAATTTTTTCAAAATTTTTGTTTTTTGTATTAAAAAAGATAATGACAACGTTATCTGTAGATGCACGTGAAGTCGTCAAAATTCTTTAATTATCAAATGTAATTTGTACACTAGTCTATCATCCTTAGTGAATGGAGTATTGGGTAGAATTGTATGTATGGTCAGAAAGGGGATGTTAACTCCGATGGCTAGTGTAGAGAGAATGCCACGCTCTTTGCACGTTAAGAATACTTGCAACAACTCTTTGAGGGGTTCGAAGGTGGTCTGCTGAAAGGCAAAATTTCTGTCCCTATCCATTAACCATCATTTACCTAGCTCCGCTACGCGTCGATAGGTAAACTCAATTTGCGACAGTAAAATCTACGTTTTACGAAGGCCAAGCTTAAAATACAATACAGTTATCTCCTGATTTTCTAATGGCATTTTCAAATTTTCAGACCTTCCTCCTGGACGACCCCTATTACAGGACCTAATGGCTTCCTGTATTTATTGTAAATTTGTTTTTGCCCTGAACATGCATAACTATTTGCCACTGGACGTCAAGTTAGCAATCAATCAATCAACTAGCTTTCAGTAACTTCGAGTACTCTCAGATCTTCGTGTAATGACCATAATTATTCCTAAGCAGGTAGGGATTTTACAGTAGAGGATATCAGAAAATATGAATTTCTTGAATTTTGTCACGATAGTATGAACAAAACCGAACTTCTGCATTGGGCATCAACTGTGTTTGAGTGTATGTGTTTGTGTGGCCGGGCTGAAGGTTTAAGAATCAAAAGATGGATGGTCGATGTCTAGCCCAAAGGATAGTATTATTATATATAGTAATCTCAGTGTTTACGTGCCTATTCTTTTAATTAAGGATCGTCAATATGTACTATCAATTAACGTATATATCAACTATCCTCAATCAGAAAGGAATAGATATGAAAATACTAAATAGGATGTACTGCTTAATTAAAGGGCTACGCTGATCTACGCTAGGCAATGCATATTGGAAATAAAAAATTTTTTTTTTTTTAGATTTCCGATCGTACTGCTCTAATTCACCAATTATTTATAATTCTTCGAACTTTTCTTCATGTATATTATCATGATAAAATAACCAGTAAATATAATATTTTTTGTACACAAAATTCTGCAACTAAAATGCTGAAAACCGTTTTCCGTCGGAGGGCTTCGCCCCCCTGAACCCCCTACCAGGGCTCTGCCCTGGACCTGCTGGGGGCCTTGAACGGCCCCCAGACCCCCTGCCGCAATTTGTGCCTACACTTGATTGGATACCTAGCTACGCCCCTGATAGTCAAAGGAACAGAAATATTAGAACACTTATGCATATATACGTATAAAAGATAATAAAATAAAAGTGTTCTTGTGTAATGTAGGAAGCAAACACATTGTAAGAAGCGTGTTGTTCTGTAGAAACATTCACTACAGTCTGTATTGAAAAAAAATATATCACAGATACTAGGTCTATAATTTGGCATGACAGACGCGCGTTTCGTCAACATGTGGCTCATTCATGGTGCTATTCAAAAGATTAAATACAAAGTTCAAGAGCATTGAAACCAATTGTGTGCTAACTCTGGCTAGGACCATCTATGTCTAGTGGAGATATCTGCGATTTTTCTTTAGTAAAAGTAGTAGGTACTATAGTACTGAACTGATTATCTCAATTAGACTTTCAAAAAAGTAATTGCGCCAAACAACGACACAGCTATTTGCTCTTCTCATATTTCATCAGTGGTCTCGTGCTCGCGTCAAGTTCTGGAGATCATGGGTTCGACCCCTGACCGGGTCAAACCAAAGACGTGAAAATGATTTTTGTTGCACGCGGCATTTAGGAGGAAAATCTAACATTGGTCGGCTCCGAGTCATAATGATGTGTCCGGGTAGGGTGACATGTCTTCATATTGACTGTTACCTTGTGGACTAGCACAATATCTGACTCAGTGAGTCGATCTAGTACAAAGCAGGGTTCAAAATCATATCGCATTAACATGTTCTCGTCCTGAATATGCATTCAATTTGGCACTGGACGTTAAACAGCCATCTATCGTTCCATGTAAGCTCTTTTTTCAGATAATTTTATCTTTGATCTAAAATGATTATCATTTTGTTATCATTTTAGATCCAACAGCAACTCTAATAGTGAATTGTAACGGAGAAAATGTTCCTGTTCCTCCGACCCCACCAACAACAACTGTTTTAACACAATCATCTATCTCATCTTCAAATCGGACAGAAGCACGCTCAACATCGACCTTATCGTCCACAACGTCACAAAACATAACTAATAACTTTACATCATCGAATCCAATAATATCATCCACAACAGAAGTGGCCTCTTCTTCTTCAGATTCCCCAACACTTAAAACGAATTCATCGACCATAATATCAACAACAGTTTTGGAAACATCATCAACAACTAAAGCCAACGTAGAAAATAATATGAGCACATCAACAACGACAAACACATATGACGAAATGTCTTCTAATTTACCAGAATCCGGCAGTACAACAGATAATTCAACATTGTCGTCAATGGATGAAAAATACACGACAACAATGCAGATGTTAACTGATGGTGATATTACTTCCCAAACTGAACAATTATTAACAAAATTAACAACAATGGCTGATACAACCGTCATTGAAACCAGAACTCCGACATTGATTAAACAAACAACTACATCTCTAACTAAAACAGTATCAACCCCAACATCAACTCAATCTCCAACTTCAACAGCAACAACTTCAACAGCATCAACTTCAACATCAATTAAAACTACTAGTCAGTTATATGAAATTGAAAGTACAACTGACCATGGAATCTCTGCAAAAGCAAATAAATCATCAACTGAAGAATTGAAAAAAGATGAAACTACTGTTGCCGTCCGACTAACATCCCCAGAAAAACGAAGCACCAAAGATGAACGATCAACACAGACATCACAAACAACACCACAACAAACGACACAAATGCCTGGGGATACTGGTAGCTCCAAAGATGATGACATTCCAAGTAAGATATATAACTGTACTATAGAAATGTTTGTTATTTAAATTGATTGTAACCGATTGAAATTTTTACGTTCAATGAAGAATGAACAAGTAAATCATGTCTCTATTACATATTTCTAAAAATTTAACTTATGATCATAGTTTATATATATATTTTAGCACGATTGATCATCTTTTTTCTGCTTTTTTGTGAATTTCGTCTGAAGGGGATTGTTTCAATGTTTGTAGATCAAACTCCCCGATATACCCCATAGAATAAAAAGGAAATAACGTTTAATTTTCAAGGATTGAACAGGAAATCTGCTGCGCTACTCTGTTTCTAAATAACAAGCCGTTATAAATTGATAGTATATGCCCTCTGGGGAAACTGTCCTTTACCTTTTAAATTTTAGAATTGTACCAGTTCATATCGCACATTACTATTTTTATTTAAAGCATATCTTTGCAGACTCTGTTGTCAATAACTGTTTACCAAAAAAATTAGAGTTGTACAAGCGTCTCTATGATGTTCGGGTTTAACTGTTTTATTGTATAAATTTCAAGATTGTTATAGTTTTATAATCAGAATAGATTCATTTTACATCATATTCATACTGCTGAAGGATATCTGTTATCCGAAATATTTAACATTTGTTCATTTTATTGTTATTTTTTTGGTGATGTTGTACCCTTTTAGACTTGTTATATATTATATTTTGTAGTGTACTGTATCATAATTATATAATCCATCGCCCCGTAAGATTTATCGTTGGCTATTATTCAGTCATTATATATATATATATATATATATATATATAGATTGAATCCCAACAAAAATTGGATGATTTTATCAGACATGCAAACAACGCACACCAGTCAATTAAATTTACATATGAAATTTCCGACTCCAAAATATCTTTCTTAGACACTACTACAGCTATTAAGGACGGTGTCATATCAACAGATCTCTACTGTAAACCTACAGATAAACATCAGTACCTTTCTCCCCAAAGCTGTCACCCCAAACACTGTACAAAAAGTATCCCGTACAGTCAAGCTCTCAGAGTAAAGCGGATTTGCTCCTCTGAGGAGGCTGTCACTAAACGGTTACAGGAACTTCGCGGTTTTTTGACCAAACGAGGTTATAAGACATTGGACATAGATAAGGGATTTGCGCGTGCTAATAACAACAGCCGCAATGACCTATTACAGTACAAACAGAAGAGGCGCAGCAAAATAGTTCCGTTTGTTTTAACATACAATCCCGCCTTTACTAACCTTTCACGTTTGATCCGTGCCAATTGGCAAACTATTGCCAAGCACCCAAAATTGTCCAAGATCTTTCCCAGTCCTCCTGTCTTAGCTTTTCGGAGACCAGCAAGTCTGAAAGACTTATTTGTAAGAGCTGACGTCTCCTCTAATAAAAGCTGTTCAACTGCAGGATGGTGCAAGTCGTGTGGAAACAGACGATGTCTGACTTGCCAACAAATACTGAATACTCAAACATTTACTTGCCACTCCACTGGGTCTGTGTACACTATATTTTGTAATGTAACTTGCAAAACACAGAATATTGTATACCTTCTTCAGTGTCGATGTGGCATGCAGTATATTGGCGAGACAGAACAGCCATTCAACAAACGCATGAATGGTCATCGAAGTGACTACACCTGCAAGCCCGACCTCCCCGTAAGTCGTCATTTGAGATCACCTGGATACGCCCAAGCTGATCTCAAAAACCTAATACAATCACAATCATAGACCACAACGAGGGTTGGTCAAGGGCCGAAAGACTTGCTCGGGAAAGGTTTTCGATAAGAAAGCTAAGGACAGTTTCCCCAGAGGGCATAAATGAAAAAACATAGAATGAGTCACTCATTTTCCCTACCATCACTCATTTTCCTGACATCATTTGTTTCCAGTTACTCCGGCTTCCTTACTTGACTCTTACAGTTTTAAGGATTCTTTTGGAATTTTTTGAATTTTACTAGTTTAAATACCAGGGTTCTTTTCATTTGGTAGGGATGTACAAGTACGCATCCACGTCCAATTATTTAACCTTAGCCCAAATTTACTATTATTTTTTTCTTTTTATTATAAAACTGCTATTTATTTGGGATGATAAATACGCAGCCTCTGTTTGACATATTTTACCAGCTTATATCGATCAGTGCTGTTTTTTGGGAATGTATTTACACGCAGTTGTTGTAACATCTTAACTGACGTCATTTTGGAATTTTAGAGTTGTGCCAGTTCATATCTCTAATTACTATTGTCATTTTAGCATGTCTTTGAGTCGTTTTTTGGAAATTTAAAAAAAAATTAGCGTAAAATTGAGAATGGAAATGGGGAATGTGTCAAAGAGACAACAACCCGACCATAGAGCAGACAACAGCTGAAGGCCACCAATGGGTCTTCAATGCAGCGAGAAACTCCCGCACCCGGAGGCGTCTCTACATATGATGTTCGGGTGAAACTGTTTCACTTTTTTTTATTGTATAGAATTCAAGATTGCTATAGTTTAATAATCAGAATAGATTGATCTGATTCATATTACATCGTGCTCATACTGATGAAGGATATCTGTTATCCGAAATATTTATAGTTACATTTGTTCGTTTATTGTCATTTTTTGGTGATGTTGTACCCTTTTAGACTGGTTATATATTATATTTTGTAGTGTACTGTATCATATTCATATGATCGATCGCCCCGTAAGATTTATCGTTGGCTATAATTCAGTCATTTTATATATATATATATATACTGCGTTGGATAAAAACCGCAATTTTTATACGTGTGCATGCAAAACAAATTTCTTGGTAGAGGGGTCTAAATACAGCACAAACAACATTTTTCAAAAGACCAAAAAAAGTGTAAAAGTATATTTTAACATATATATAATATATAACTGAACTAAAAAAAAAGCAGAAAAAATGCAAGGTTTATGTCCTTGTTTTTGAGAACATTTGGCGGAAAATTATTCTCTCTAGATTTTTCATACATATAACATTGGTACCTTTATTTCTTTCAAAAACTATAAAAACATAACAAGGATTTGATACGATTTTCAAAAATAGGTTTAAATTAAATGTCATAAATTATGAACAGAAAAGTAGGAAGTAGCGGGCAATATTTTTAATGGCACCACATGAATAAAATCAGAGGATTCCGAATATCTGACAGTCCAAAAGAAGACAAGCGAACATTTCAATGAGTCAGGTACGCCCCAGACTTAGAGTTCTGGAAGCTTAAACTTGATATTGAATAATACATTTTGGGAAGTCAAATCAGTATATTGAAAATAATCAAAAATAATATTTAAATGTGCACAATATGGTTTTTTTCTGGAATATTCATAGGAATTTTAGTTGGAACACATGTCTTATCAGCAAACACATTAAAACCTAGTATAGAAATATTGAAATTTCTAAAGTTAAATCATAGGTTGCAACTCCCGAAGGCCAAGTTACCCTTAGTCAATTGTGGTTGTTTTGTTAGAGCTTTTTCGCTTTTTGTTTGATTTTTTTTTTTGTGCTGTCCAAAGATTTGTAGTTTTGGCGTCTGGGGCGTACCTGGTGGTGAATATTCCAGAATAAACATTTTGTTCATCTAAATCATACTTTTATGTATTTTCAATGATTTGATTTCCCAAAATGTATTATTCAATATCAAGTAGTTATATTCTGTAGGGAGGACACTTTTATTTCGTTATTCGTTTATCCTAGTTTTAAGTGCACCAATTAGTGTACTCTTTAACCATCGTTATTGTAAGGGTTCATTTCTTGTGCAGTTTTTGACGCCCATAAATTGCAAGGTTTCCTATTCAGAAATCCAATAAATAATATGTATATATGGTGTATACTATATTTGTAGTTGAAGTCGTAGCTCCTGTCGCCAGTGTTGGTGGGTTGATCATCGTTTGTGTGATTATTTGTATAGTTGTTGGAATAAGGTAGGTTATTCTACATTCAACCTTCTAGATTACATTTGATTAAGTTGTTATTGATTTACCATTCCAAATGTTTTGATTCGAGCGCCAATGGTGAGACTGGTGTAGAAGAAACACGCTTATAATGTACTAAATTATGTTAACCTGTTAGTTTAAACAATATTCATTCAGATAAATCATCACATAACGATATAATACAATTGAAATAAATATTAAGGATTCAGAAACAAGCAAATTTGCTTTTAAAAATCTTGTCTCCTAGTACACAAATGATACACTTATTGAGCAATAGATACATATAAATGCTGGCATGCTCTGCAATAAATATTTGAATATGAAAAAGGTGAAAAAAACAATAGAGAAAAAAAAGAATAAACATGAATTTTTGTAATGTATACAGTATGAAATGTTTGGATTCTTATTGGATGATGAAGCAGTAACATCAAGGGTTAAAACGTTTGCTTTTGATAATGTATTCCTGCACCAAACTAAATAAATAAAATTGAGAATGGAAATGGGGAATATGTCAAAGAGACAACAACCCGGCCAAAGAGCAGATAACAGCCGAAGGCCACCAATGGGTCTTCAACGCAGCGAGAAAATCCCGCACCCGGAGGTGGTCCTCAGCTGGCCCCTAAATAAAAATGTGTACTAGTTCAGTGAAAACGGACGTCATACTAAACTCCAAAACATATAAATGAACTAAAATTGAAAAACATACAAGACTAACAAAGGCCAGAGGCTCCTGACTTGGAACAGGCGCAAAAATGCGGCGGGGTTAAACATGTTTTGTGAGATCTCAACCCTCCCCTATACCACTATCCAATGTAGAATAAAGAAACACAGAGCGATACGAACAGTCAAAATGACTATTTTGCTCGTCTGAGAGTACCGTTGAGCCAAAATGCAAAATGTGTGTGTCAACTTGGACAGGAAGAACTAGAATATATATCATGTCTTAAATCGGTGTATATGGGACAAGATAACAGGAAGTTAGACTTTGTTTCAAAATCACCACAACGACAATTTGGGGAGACCTACTAAATTACGATAGAATAGTTGAGAATTCAATGAACTTGAATCCAAGGCTCCGTGTTGAAGACCGTACTTTGACCTTTAATGGTTTACTTTATAAATTTTGACTTGGATGGAGAGTTTTCTCATTGGTACTCATACCACATCTTCTTATATCTAATTAAGCGAGCATGAAGAATTTGACCAAGACGATATCCTACATAGTAATACATTGGGACCTTACTATTTTGGGTTCGAACTTGTTTTTTGAATAATGGTAAGAGATTCACATTTTCTTATGTTTAAGTTAAGTGTGTTCCACAGTCTTATTGTTGCTGGGATAAAATATTCAGAATATAAACGGGACCGTGTGTTGAGTTGAGTAATATTATTTCTTTGTCTTGTTTTATGGTCATGTTTACTTCCCACTAAATCAGGCATTAATTTTCTTTAATATATTGGAGTTTTATTATTAAAATTTTTGTGAAAAAGTGTTAATCTGTGATTGCATCGTCCATCAGATAATTTTTCCCATTGAGTTTCCGCATATAAATTATTAATACTGGATAAGTTTAGTACCCTCGTGACGATACGCTCCGCCGCATCAAGCTAGATATTTTCAAGTTTAGTAATCAAATTCTGATTTTGGGAGTCCCAATCGACATCTGCATATTCGAGAATTGGGCGAACAAATGATATGTAATTTCTTTTAAGATATAAACCTATCAAGAACATTTTCAATTTTCCTCATATTTATTCTTTTGTAAAATTTAGGAAATATACATTCAATATGGTCATTTGATCCGTTGTTGGAGAAAAAGACACCTAGATGTTTATGTTTACTTACTATTTGTAGCTCTTTGGTATTCATTTTTAATGGAGGATGACAGGGTCTTTTATGTTTGTTTTTTTTTAATTATCATACTTTCAGTCTTTTGGGCATTGAAATTCACAGGCCATTTCTTTAACCAATTATAAATTTTATCTAAATCATTATTTAAAATTTTAGCTGCTTCTGTTGGATTTTCAACCATAATATACAATGAAGCGTCATCTGCAAATAGTTTAATTTGAGCTTGAATGTCTTCGACAATATCGTTTATAAATGTAAAAAAAAGTAGAGGACCAAGCATGGACCCTTTTGCGACGCCACTATTTACAGGTAGCCATTCAGATCTTGAACCGTTAATTACAACCCGCTGGACTCTAAAAAATGTACAAATAAAATACATGAAAATTGATGCATTCATTGTAAACCAAAGGGCAAAAATAAAAATGTTTATCTATAACATAATCACGATATTGTTGAAAGGACCAGAATGTAATTGAAAATTTGCAATATGACTTGTTCAACAGATAAGACACTTGAGACCTAAATAAGATTTTTCTTATTGTATAAGTCTAAAATAGAAAAAACCTGAGAATTTTTAAATTATTTTCGTCGACTTAATCATGAAAGAATATAAATACTTATCAATTTAGGTGGAAATATTTTTAACGAGGTAAAACAGCAAACTAACCAAAATTTATATTTTTTTTAAAATTACAAGTAACAAAAACAGCTATCTCTATTATCTTAAATCTAAAACAATGGTTTTAAATAATTGTCCCGCAAAATTACCAATTTCTGTGGAAAAGATTTTGTTTTATTAAAAAAAAATGAATGATTTTCCATTCTTTCCTTTAAAAATTTGAGAAATCTATCGTAAATTAAATATATGAAGCACATTATGCAGAAATGTACCCACTGGTTAAATCATCCAGTTGAAAATGAGTCTTGTCCATTGCAACCAAAATCATATTAAATTAAAATCTGCTTCTTTAAAAAACATTACACGCTGGATGAAAATGTAAACATTTAAAATTAGTTAAAGGGGTATGAGCTGTCAAATTCATGTTAACCGATTTGACTCCAATTTTCATATTTGATTTATATCATACTAAAACGTATATCCAAATTATAAAAAATCTAAAATAAACAATTAACAATACATGGACTCGATAATATGTATCAGCATTTCGTGTGTATTTTAGTCTATACGCCATCTAATTAACCATCGAGATAACCTCCGAAGACTACCGATGATCATATAACCCGATATGAACATAACCATAAATATATAATAGATAAAGACCACTTGCAATTGGATTTTTTCTAGGTGCGTTTGATTTCATATTATAGGTTAACAAATATGTTAATTATCATTTTTACCTGTATACGAATGATTTTTTTGTGGATCGAATCAGTCAACCAAATGGCTCACTCACCCTTGTTTCACTTTCAATGTTGACATTATTTCCCTTTTAAAAGCTGAACACGCCCAGTAAATGCGTAACCCATCTCTAGGTAATGTGTTAAATTGAAGGTCACATGAATACGGATTCAATGAGGTCAAATTATTGACTTGCAAGTGAATAATACATCAGCGATGATTTTTATCTTATTTTGACAAATATTTGCCAAACTGACTGCTTATAACGAAATATTATTTCAAAATTCCGCTTTTATTAATACTTTAACCAAAGAGAATCGTATTTTAATTTTTTGTCTAAATTGAGATAATGCCCCTTTAAAATGCTGATTTGTTTTTATAATCAGTGTATAAAAGGCAAAGACTTTGAACGTCTAACGTCTTTATTTTTCTTTTAGAACTTCAAAGCAGAAAAAGGACCTCAGATTTACAGTAATTGCATGTTTTGTTATTTATGTAATTTTAGTAGGCAATAATTAAAAAAATATGATCGATGGGCATTTTTACATTTACCCTTATTTACTACATGTACAATAATATTAAGAGGAATATTCTCCATCTGTAGATAACTTAGATTAGATAGAGTATAGTATTGAAAACAAACTACTAACTGGCATATACGTTATATTTTCCAATAACCTACAATGTATATGCTGTGTATAAGTTGTAATTTTGCACAAATACATTTTTACACACTTTTTGTACAAGCTATAAGTATTTTTTATACATAACTTCGGAAAATACTGTAACTTGTACAAAATAACAACGTGTGCACAACATTTACATAAAAATCCTCCCAAATATTATGTATTTAGTCTGTATATATGCAATCACTATATCTGCCATATTTATTTTTTTTGCATATGTTCCATACAGTTTAGGGACGACCGCTAAATATTCTGGGGGAGGAGGATTTTTTTGTCGATTGACTAGGCATTTTTATCTGTAGCTACGCAAGCTTATTTTTTCCGCGCGATTTTCATACTGTTTTGTGCAAGATTATTTATTTTCATCTCTTACCAGGCCAGGATATGAATTTTCAAAATCCTCCTCCCCCACTCCCAAAAATCTAGTGAGTGTCCCTTGATGAATATTTTATTTCGACTATTATGATTGCTACCGCGGATAAAATCTTTGTTTAAATATATACATAAACTATTCTCAGAGGTTATCTTGCTTTGTTGAAGTTTTTGAAAAAAAAATCGACATGTAAATGAATTATTTTAGATTGGTCGGTACTGTGTATATATAGTATGACCAGGTACAACTATTATACTACAGTATGTTTTTGTATTGTGTTTACAAATGTGCAAACATTATCCTCGAGTTTATCAATTGTATTTCTCATTTTATTATAATTTCTAGGAGAAACAAAACAGGAAAACACAAGTTTTCAGTGGTAAATTTTCTTTGGTCGGTCATTACATATTTTACTGTTGTGTGAAGCATGTATATTTTGTATGTAGCATGTCTATTACATGTATTTAGCCTGTGTATGCCATTAAAGTACAAACATTAATAAAGTGGATCCTGTATACTTTTTGAAACATATATGAGATTTTGAAAATACGCTTTGAAAATTAAATAACCAATAACAAATGTAGCTTTTGTTTATTCTGCTTACTTACTAGGATACAGATCCTGTCATATACAAAATTTACAATAATGTGGTGTCGGTACGGGCAAACTCGGGCTAAATGTGTGCAGATAATAGATAATATTTGTCGAACCAGACATATACAGTCTCTGCTTAAACGGATGTGGTAGTTTCATTTATATTGGCTACAAATATGGAGACAATTCACTTCTGCAAAATTTGGACACGTTTTATCAAATATTTTGTTATTTTTTGTGTGTTGGTGTCATTTATTTTAGTTCGTGTTTAAGCACTGCGCACATAGTAAATATGCATATCTTCGGAAAATAGACAAGTAATACACGTAAATGCAAATCAAAGGTATACAATGTTGAAACTTTTTACAAAATATCACTTTAAAAATTCAGATTCAACAAAACAAACAAAAGATGAATGACTATTATTTACAAAAAGTAGTAACTTAGAATAAAAGATACAGAGAAATGATAACACAAAACAGATAATGTTCACATATAGTGACATCTCTTGCAAATCACTATAATGTTTAAACAGTGTTGATATCAATTAAATGACCATAATACATTTGAAGCGCAAACGGCAATTGTTGTTAATTATCGAATCTGACTATTCCATGACACTTTTCTAAGATACCGGAATGAAATCTTAACGTAAGTAATATTATTTCGGCACCTTTGTCCTTTCATATAAGTTCATATCATCTTGTTTTGCCTGAATTTATTTTAGTCGATCTCGTGCATCAAGTGAACAATAAGGCTCGCTTTCCAACCAAATTTCGCTGAAATATAATATTGAATAGAACTGGCTGTTGATATGAAAAACTATTAAAAAGTTTTAATAAAGGAAGACAAAAAGAAAGGAACTTCATGTTTCAATTTAATTATATATAAAAACGGTTACAAGTTAAACATGTCATCTTTTTAATTTTTATTTATCATGGCTATGCTTTGTTTACTTCTAGGCGTAATGGATGCGGGTGCACTGAAGATACATTACCTCACAGCAATACACTAGTAGAAAAGGCTTCAACTGAAATTAAAAACAGAGAAAAAGACACATATGTAAATCCATTGTATGATGACATATCGCTTACCGGAAAATCAGATCGTTCCGACAGAGACTCTATGATGCAAGAAATTCCTTCAGATGACGATTCGGATGATTCTTACAGATTACCGGAATCAACAAAAATTGATGGTGAATTGTGGACGCATTTATGATAAATTTTGTAATAGAATTCTGACTTGTGCCATTAATAATTATGCTCATATGACAACAATATAACCACCGACATCGTTTTGTATTCTTCGTTTAAGGAATTAAAAGTCAAATCGATTAGTTTCAGATAAAAACAAATCGTTCCATTTTAGGCAAATCTATTAATTCAGCAGTGAACGATTAAATATATATGTAACTGTGATATGGAGGAACCTTCAACATTTTTGCGATTTTTTTTATGACTGTACCTAAGCCAACAATTTAAGTCGTCTCATTAGAAAATCCATATTTGTTTTCCAGAAATCAAACATTTCCTGAATTTCAATTATCTTTTATATTTACACCTTTCATTGCGAGAATACGCAACATGAAAACAGCGAGTTCTTGGTGAAATAAAATCTGTTAGAACATGTTAATAAGGTTTCCATTTATCCAGTTTAACAATCTTAGATTTCAGTTCTACACTCTAATACCCACTTGACACGAAGATGAAATCATTTCCAAGCTGGATCAAGATTGTTTTAGGGAAAAGTGCAATTTCAGGAAGAAGATATAATAAGAAAATGGGTTTGGTCCCTTGAATTCGAATATCAAAAAGTATTATAAATCTACCAAATATCATCATTCAGGTGATCATAAGATTATCAAATATCAAAATTAATATTTTGAATTAGTTCTTGCCTATTTGCATAAGGGCTCCAACGTCTTGCATTTAGAGCAAAACTTCGAAAAACTGCCAAAATAGCCTCGTTTTGAAATCATGTCATTAATATTTAGATATGAGCAAAGCTCTACACCCAAAAAAGCATTTTGACTCAAGAAGTATTTTAAAAGATGCTAGTTATATATTTGTCCCAGTTTTGATACAATTCATATATTGAAAATCTGATTTTGTTGACGTTAAAAGGGTTAGATTGTACACTCAAAGTAAAGATATGTAGGGTTGTTGTTCTGAATTAATTATGCATTCAAGTTGATGCTTAAATTAATAGCCATAATTAGCAATATAGTCAAAAGATATACACAACACAATTAAAATTTACAGAATGTATATTTATGAATATCAAAACTTCCTCGTGTTGCGATGGCACTTGTATAATTAATGAAAGGTTACTTTTTCACAAAATTATGTAAAACTGAATAGAATGACACAAAATTAACCGAGTTCTCGAAATCTTTTTCCTCTGGTGGTCCAATCTGCTGACCCTTGCTCTTTATTTCTATTGCAAAAAAAACAAAATTGTGTCAGTCCTTGCAAAAGTTTGGTGGTCAAAACCTTCGGACCACCACTTTTAGAGAACTCTGATAAACCATAATGGTTTTATTATCATGACTTATTTTACGATAAAAATGTACGATTTATTACTTTTAGAGATTGGGTGGATAATTCGCGACATATAATGCAAATTGTACGCAGAAAGACTTTCGTGTATTATCATTATGAATAATTTCGAATCTTATAGACAATTTTTTCAATTTGTTCAAAGTCTGCTACGTAGTATCTTAGACAATATTATACGTTTATCTTAAGATTTGAGTTGCCTCGCCTTGCCCTATAAATTATACAAAATTGACTGAGATATCAGAGACAAATTGTATTATGTGTCTCTGGTGATATTAATGAATTTGTTGTTCTAGTTCTTGTAGAATTCTTTGAGAAAGTTATAAAGGTATTTACAGTCCGCATTTTCCTGTTGTAATGATGTCTGATACTAGTAATGAAATATTTACAAAAAAGTATAATTTGTACCCAACAAGCTTTCTTCTGAATCTTCTAAATTGACCTCATGCAAATCAAAATGAAAAAAAAAACAGCTTTACATTTGTTTATTGTGACATTTTTAATATTTTTGTGTTATCCACAGCATTAATGGTGTGATTCAGTAGATGTATCGTAAACACTGGATTGATTATAGTCACGAACCAAAACAGCATTAAACCATTGTTAATGTTTTACAACGCAGTATTTGTGGTTTAAAGGCTATTTATGGTTTTACATTGAATTACACATCGACCGCATATCGTGTATACACATTATAACTTACACAACATGTATCGTTTTTGTTATTTATGTTAACTGTTCAATATACGAGTTTTTATAGGTTGTTAAGGATATGTGTCATATACCACAATTTTTGTAACTATGAAACATGGTTTGTCCTAGTCTTATAATGTATGATGAGTTATTGTTTTGTATTAATAATATTGCTATGTACACATATATCATTTGATGAATATAATTCTTTTTTTATTTTATTTATTTGTTTTAACAGAAAACGGAACAAGCAAACACGCACATATTCAAGAGAACATATAGCATGTATAGCACATAATTGTGGAATCAAAGGGAAAAGAGAACATGCACAAAACCCATAACATACACACAATCACACAAAGAAAGAAAGAGAGGGATTCACGTTGTGTAAATACATGTCAAAAAAAGAATTTTTAATGAAAAACATATTTAAGCAGAATTAATGTTGACAATTGTTTCTTACGTGCAAATATTTTAAATATCCCAACTACATCGGGTCATACAGTTTAATAAGATTGTAAATACCAACACGGTTGTGGTTTTTTTAAACATTAAATAGATGAATTTAAACAAAACAGTGCTAACCTTTTTTAATTAAGTCAAGGATATTATTTCACGAATGGACAAAACTATCATATTACGCAATTTCTTGCATCGTTTTCTGTAAACCGACCATCTTTGTTAAAGATGCCCCACAATTTTGGTTGTCACACAATATAATCCTCAAAGTTACAACTTGTAGTAAGTTTTAATGCACTTGCTGAAAACTATCAAAACAACACAATATTATGTGTAAATGTGGTAATCTTTTTTTATGATCCTTGTACTCATGCAATACTGTCAAATAAGAAATTGCGTGGATACAAAATACAAAAACTTGATAGCAAGATTTGTATGCACCATTTCCAGAAATAGCGAAAAACATTTGCAATCATAAATGCACGCACACATATTAGACTGGTTCCCTGTCCTTTATCTTTTTGGCTCTGACAGATATAAACAAGAGTGTCTGAGATACCCGTATATTGCAAGGGAGAGGACCAGCCAAGCACAAATATTTGAATTTACAATTTTTTCATGTTACCATACCGCTGATGCCCGAGACTGATTGTACCGCAGTGTTATAGACCTACTCCCGATTTCATTTACATAAGTGTCCATCTAGGGAACATGACTGCTGAGAATTTGCTGTGTAAACTTTGTGTGTGTAAGCTATTACTACAATTCCTGTAAATTCTAAACAAATACTGTACAGACCTTATCAACTACCAATATCTAAACAAATACTGTACAAACCTTATCAACTACCAATATCTAAACAAATACTGTACAGACCTTATCAACTACCAATATCTAAACAAATACTGTACAGACCTTATCAACTACCAATATCTAAACAAATACTGTATAGACCTTATCAACTACTTATATCTAAACAAATACTGTTCAGACCTTGTCAACTACCAATATATAAACAAATACAGACATTGTTTTGGGGATATAACTGGGAATTACTTTATTCGTTTCATAAATAATATGCATCTAAATTCATTTCTAGCTGGCCATGGTTTATCGCAGTTGTAGTAGCTGATAGAAGAACAATTTTCAGAATGCAAGGTTCGAATTTTAGTTAAATAGGAGGAATATTACACAAGAAGCTCGTCGTGGTTTTTTGTTTAAGTATCATTATTATAATTTCAACGCTTCAGTGCTTTTCTTCATTAGTGATTAATAATTTTGAAGTTTCTGTCAACTTTATTGATTTGTCCAGAATTAAAAAAATGGTCGTTTAAGGGGAAAAGTCTTCGTTTGTGCTACAGGGGTATAGAACGTGAATAAAAGTTACATTTTCGTGCAGTAAAATGAATTAGGAATCGAATGATGTATGATTTATCTAACGACCCCAACGAGTCCTAAAAAAGGCGGCCATGAGACGTCAGGGCAATCTCGGACTAGTTGGAGTGATGATAATAGCACGAATAATGTGAAGATTCACTTTATAATTCTGTTATATTGCATAGTTTTAACATGAATTGACACCCGGTTTCATTACAACATGAAGGTTTTTAGCTGGAAAACACTGAATCATGTAAAAACGATATGGTAAAACATAAAGCTTTAGGTAATAGGAAGTCCTATCAAAACTAACATAAAGTCAGGTGATCCAGAGTTTAAGCAAATACAACCGGCAATGATTCAAAAAGTTGATGAGGAAATCAGTGAAAGAACTGAGGCGATCAGAAAAGTTTTGTGACTAGTTGCTGTACCCATTGGAATAAGGTTTATCGTTGAGTTAATATCTCATTGCTATACTCAACATATTTTTGTTTTTATTGCACTAAGAAACCAAGATGAAATTAAAAATATAGGATGCAAAAGATAGGGAAATGTACTACAGTATTAAATTATAATATGGCCTTGCCATTTCATGAGTTATCTTTTACTTATATCCCAGTTCAAAACAACCAGACTCAAGCTGGCAGCCACTTTTAGCAGCCAATCAAGCTAGCAGCCAATTTTTATGGTATATCTAAAAACCAAAAAAGTGTATAAGTCTCAAACGTGCATGTAGTTAATTGTTGAAATATGAACATGTTATGAGACATAACACGAACGTTATGATCTTAGTGTCAACGGGAGCAAGTCTTAGCAACATGACTGGTCATCATTTTCTTAACCATTCTCAAATTGTATGAGAGGTGTTTTACATTTGACGACAAGCTGGTTTCAGTGAATGCACCGAAATATCGTGAAAATGAACCCATCAAATAGAAATACGATGTTAAAGTACTTATTAATGTTTGAAGAACAATATCAAACTGTGCGTAAAAAGAAAGAATACCTTTAAACAGGTCGGAATTGGACGAAAAAGAAGCAATAAGATGTTAAAAGCGGAAAATTTGCTTAGACGGCTTCAGACCTCAATTAATTCCCTATTTTTAAAGTTTTATTGAGCATTTCTTCGTTATTTTTTGCTACAGTTTTCTTGAGAGTTTACTATTAAAGTAGTCCGTTATTGTTGCATATATATTGAAATAAGTAAAAAATGGAGGGAAAAAAAGGGAAATTAGTGATTTGGCCAAAGTGAAGGTAGGGTAGAAATAAGCCTTCAGATTTTCTTCAAGAATCAACTTCTACCCTTTGGTTGTTTACAGGGCTCTCAAGAGCGAAAACAGCGATCGATTTTGTTGGGACAAGCATATTTCATTAGAATGACAATAGTCTTATAAACAGTAATATTTGTTTTATATCTGAACTGGCTCATTTAAAAAACAATTAAATTTGACTTTTACAAAGAAAAGCATTGGTGAAAATAATTGTGGTCTGAGGGCAGATGCTATCTTTTTTAATGACAAAAAGTTATTAATACAGCCGACAATATGCAGTTTTTCTTGATAATAGATGTAAGTATTGATAGTACACTTTGGTATCGTAATGATCACACCGACAGGGGAAACTCTTATGAATCGCAAGGCCTTCATGTCTCTTCTTATGACGACAATGATAACACTATCAAATTCAACCTTCTAACGAAGATGCTATGGGGCAAAAAAACAAACGACAACACTATGACAATAGCTCAATTAAGCTTATTTTGAAACACTAAACATGTATCTTATCAACTGTTACAGTTAAAGGATTTCTAAAATACCGCGAAAAGGTCTCCCTCGGCAGATATATATCCTTTACTCTGGAGCAGATTTCGTTGAATATTTTGGGGACCATCGATCACGTTCTGTGGATTTTGTTTTCTGATTTTCAAACAAAAGATTGACACTCTGATTAGCACCAACTGTATACCATTCTTTGCATATTAAATTCTTCCCTTGTATGAATTAGAATTTACCGTGTTTGATATTTATTCTTTTACCCTATATTGACCCTTACCTAATTTGACAAATTGCCAACATTGACCACTTGACAATATGGTGGGTGTCTAAGGGAGCTACCATTTGATTTTTATGGGGGGGGGGGGGCTAGGACGAAAAAATTTGTCCTGCCTATTTATTTTTCCCTCTATTCGGTCCTGCCTTTTTATTTTTCACTCTATTCGGTCCTGCCTTTTTTTTTTTAGTTTATCCTGACTTTTTTTTTACATAAATTGTCATCCTGCCTTTTTTTTTTTTGCAAATAATCTCATCCTGCCTTTTTTTTTTACTCAAAACTCCTGTCCTGCCTATTTTTTTCAAATTTCATCCTAGCCTCCCCATAAAAATCAAATGGTAGCTCCCTAATGCACATCAGAAAATACTTATTCTTTTTGATCACCTGGTATCACTCCTTGTTGTAATTAGAGTTTGTATTGCCATAAGCTTTCGTTGAAAATGTTGGCTGTTCGATAATGTCTTTTCTTGTTTGTTCGTACATTTTGAATCGTTGCTTGAGATATGTGTCCTTGTATTGCCCTCTGTATTCTGATTGCATTTCCGTTGTGTTCAACATTAGGCATAATTTACATCGAATTTAAATTGAGCGCTATCAATAAACAAAAATAAGTTTATTAGCTTTATTCAGTTAATCAAAATCGTTTGACATAGCAAACCCTATTTTTATAAAGTTATGAAAAAGTTATATGACATGTAAAACTTTTATTTGCTTTCTTGTTAATCATAGTAAAAGCTATACAGTAACAGTTATACGTTTTGTTTTTAAAATTTTTCAAATTTAAAATATGATATGAACTTAACCCCTTCGTCCCCAATCCCGCCTGTAGTCGTGATTGTAACCGCCATTCCGTTTAATGGCACGTATGACTCCCCATACTCTTTTAGAACTGCCACCAGCTGAACCCTGCTGACTAAAGTTGTCGTCAATTTATTTCCAAGGGAATCCATATAAGAAAAATTTCCCTGGGAAACTATTAGCTTTCTTGTGCAAAATATTATAAACACTCAAGCGTAAATAGTTCCACTTTACTTTACCATTTCCCTGGGAAACTTTTCATGAATACTAGTTGATTATGTATAGTTTCCCACGGAAATATTTTTGTTGTCCGTTTTCTATGGATTTTATTCATTTTCGTTAAAAAAATATATTCTTTTTGGTTATTCTTTTTCATAAAACATAATCCTATATGAGATATTCCTTTTATGTATCACTGATTGTTCGTGTAATCCATTTTCTCAACTACATAGAAGAAGTTCATTTGTGTATATTTTTCAAAAGTGTCTATAACCTTTTTCCAGTTCGTTAAAGTATTCATTTTTTTTGTATCC